AACAGTATACTGTTGATATGTTGCAAGATAAGGGGGAAAAAGTTTACTTATCATTCCTCTTGTATGCTGGAAGGCTAGTTGATAGTGCTTGAGGTAAGCAAAAAGGGTCCAGGACAGGAAGTCACACATCACCGCATCGTAACTGAGGCCAGCAACTCATTTGCATATAATACAACAGTGACTTGTCAATCAAAGAGCAACGTAAACAAACTTTCAGGGCTTTTAATCACATCGCATGCCTCGGTTCCCTATATTTTGAAATCGATTTTTGAGTACTGTAGAATACTTTATTTTCGCTTGGAATTTATTTTCGCTATTTTCGCTGAAAGGATGATTCCGTGAAATAAAATCCAGCGAATATACTTTTTTTTCCTATATTTCACATTAAACTCATCAAAAACCAGTGAAAATTAATTCCAAGCAAAACGCCCAAAAAGCCTTTTCAGCGAAAATTAATTCCAGCGAAAATAAAGTATTCCACAGTAAGTTCCAGCATTGACAATGCTCTGCAATTTTAACATTATCTGTCTGGGTAAGAAAAAAAAAAAAAAAAAAAAAAAAAAAAATTTCACTCCGAGTGCCCACGAACCTGCATCTATACCTTAAAGTTTGAGTTACTGAATGTGGACGTTCAACAAAAACCAAAATGTATGTTGCCCATAACTCGAAGTTCTGTTAATTGAACATCAAGTTACAATTTGGGCCTGGTTTCTTAAAAGTAGGCGTGGTCATTTCTGTAACTCGATGTTTTCATAACACAATGTTCAATGTCCATAATTCAAACAATTCAGCATCCCACAAGATGTTTAGAACTCTTCATCTATTCTGCAAATAAGTATTGTAATTGACCTACCACCTTAAAAGTATTTTCACCATGGATGGTTTTGACAAATCAACCTGTAGGATGAATTACTTTGGGAAAAATAGATTTGAGGAAAAAAACTACCCTTACTCCAGCTACAACCTACTTTTGTACCAGGGCAAGTAACTCCCAAATTTTACCAGCCCTGCATTAAAGATCATTTAAAAATAATTTTGTTCTCATTTCAAGTAAGCAACACAAAAACTTCTGTTGACACACAACACAGGTTATTTAATTTGCTACTTTTTGTCTCACGATTTTTCTATCAGCCATCAGAGAAAAATGGCATTCATTTTTATCCAATAATACTGTTTAGCAAAATTTCATTTTCAAAATTGTTATTGAAGCAGAGCACGAACAAATTTAAACAGACCACCAAATATGTAAGTTTTAATTTTTATCAGCCTGACTGGGCCGTAATATCAAACAATG